ATAGAAGGATAGATAGAAAGAAAGTTAGAGAGAAGGGTAGAAAGAAAGAGATAGATAGAAATATAGAAAGATAGAGAGAAGGGTAGAAAGAAAGAGAGAGATAGATAGATAGATAGATAGACAGATAGAAGGATAGATAGAAAGAAAGATAGAGAGAAGGGTAGAAAGAAAGAGAGAGAGATATAGAAGTATAGAAAACTAGAGAGAAGGGTAGAAAGAAAGAAAGAAAGAAAGAAAGAAAGAAAGAAAGAAAGAAAGAAAGAAGTATAGAAAAATAGAGAAGGGTAGAAAGAGAGAGAGAGAGAGAAGAGAAAGAAAGATAGATAGATAAAAAATAAATAGAAAGAAAGATAGACAGACAGACAGAAAGATGATTGATGGGTAGATAGATAGAAAGATAGAAGGAAAGAGAAAGAAAGAAAGATCTCGGGGCTCCAAGGAGAGTCAAAGGCGAGGTCTTGAGGATGTTCAAAATCTGGATCGACATTCCTCCTATTCAGGCTATTGTTTCAACCCGAAAAAAAACATCTTTGGGTTCGGAAAAGGGAATCTTTGTATTCCGATTTCCCCCCTAATAAGAAGAAGAAGAACTAATAAATAGTTTTATTATTGTTTTTTTTGGGGGGGGGGGGTTATTTGCCAGGCGTTTCAAGCGAATAGGAATCTCTAAGGGAGAAAAGTTGTTCAAGATTCAAAACTTCTGGCTCTTCTTCTCAACGCCATTCCCCATTCTCCAGCTTTCTGTGCCACCGAGAAAGGGGGTTTGTGGGGTTCAATGGGCGAAGGTCCAGATCTATCTATCTATCTATCTATCTATCTATCTATCTATCTATCTATCTATCTATCTATCTATCTATCTATCCATCCATCCATCCATCCATCCATCCATCCATCCATCCATCCATCCATCCATCCATCCATCCATCCATCACTATTTCGGCCAGAGAGGAATTGAATGGGAGGCGACAACAAGGCTATGTTTCAGAGGAAGGACCTCTCCGTCTTCTTGGCCTAAGAAAACCCTCTGAAAGACATGCAGACAGGCCCAGGGACACCAGGATCTGAACCCACCTTTCCCCTCGAGATGCTGTCCTTCCGGAGCATAGACACACAGAGAGCCAATGTGACACACACACACACACACACACACTCCTGCCCTCCTTTAGTCTTTCTTCCTCATTCTATTTTCCTTCTCTTCCCTCCACAAAATGTCCCAACCCCTCTTGCTGCACTTTGGTGGTTGTTGTTGTTATCTACCAAAGGTCTTTCAAGCATGGACAGCTGAACAACTACACTATCTATCTATCCATCCATCCATCCATCCATCCATCCATCCATCCATCCATCCATCCATCCATCCATCCATCTATCTATCTATCTATCTATCTATCCATCTATATTCTATCTATCTATCTATCTATCTATCTATCTATCTATCTATATCTATCTATCTATCTATCTAATCCATCCATCCATCCAGCTATCCATCCATCCATCCATCCATCCATCCATCCAGCTATCTATCCATCCATCTATCTATCTAGTTGATAGGTAGGTAGTTCTTCAGTTGTTCATGTTTGACAGACCTTTGTTACATAACAACAGCAACAATAACAACAACAACCAAAGTCTATCTGTTTATCTATCTCTATCTCTCTATCTCTCTATCTCTCTATCTGTGGTAGAATGATAAATAGTTGTTCATATAGAGGAGGGATGGGGGAGACCTTCTTCCCTCCCTTTTTAATTTTTGGTTCAGGAACACACAAACACACACACAAGCACATATATATAGATGTGTCTATAAGGATGTGTATAGGTATATAGGAATGTGGATAGATAGATAGATAGATAGATAGATAGATAGATAGATAGATAGATAGATAGATAGATAGATAGATGTGAGTAAATAGGGATGTATGTATGCATGTGTATGTGAATATATATATGTCTGTGTGTGTGTATAGGGATGTGTGGGTGGGTGGGTGTGTATAGTATAGGTATGTAGATGCAGGTAAATACATATATATAGAGAGAGAGTGTATATGTATACATAGAGAGAGAGAGGGAATATATGTGTGATAGACAGATATATATGTGTGTGTGTATATATGTTAACAAATGTATGTGTGTGTATATGTATATAGTATCTATTATATTTGTTATATTTATATATTATTATATATATTTTAATATTGTATCTTATATAATATAGTAAATAATACTATATATATAATAGAGTAATATATATATATATATCAGTCACACAGTCTGACTAATACATATAATATAGTAAATAATACATATATTATAATATTGTATATTATAGTAAATAATACATATTATATATAATACATATTATATATAATATAGTAATATATAATATAGTAAAATTATATATATATAGTAAATTTTATATATATATATATATGAGTAAAATTACATATATATATGTAATATATATATATATATATATATATATATATATATATCAGTCGGACAGTCTGTCTAATATATATAATATAGTAAATATAGTAAATATAGTAAATATATATATTTACTGTATTATATATTACATTAATCAGTCAGACAGTCTGTCTGATAAATATATAGTAAATATAGTAAATATATATATATTTACTGTATTATATTATATTAATCAGTCAGTCAGTCTGTCTGATATATATAATATAGTAAATCGGACAGTCTGTCATATATAATATAGTAAATATAGTAAATATATATATATATACTGTATTATATTATATTATATTAATCAGTCAGACAGTCTGTCTGATATATATAATATAGTAAATCGGACAGTCTGTCTAATATATATAATATAGTAAATATAGTGTATATATATACACACACACACACACATTCTCTCTCTCTCTCTCTGTCTCTTCCTCCCTTCCTCCCTCTCTCTAGATCTCCCTGTATGGCTATACCAAAGGCAATTCCAAGGGCTCTCCCCCCTCCCTCTGAAGGCAATGAATCCCCCCCTCACCCAGACCCATTGCAAGCCCCCCAGGCTCCCTTCCCCAGCCCCAGAGACCTACCGGATCCTTCCTGGCCTGGCTGGAAACTTTCCTCCAACTTGGAGGAAGGCAGGCAGGGGAGAAGCCACACACCAGCCTATTTCCTCTCTCTCTCTCTCTCTCTCTGTTTTGGAAGAGGGGGGAAGAGGAGGCTCTCTCTGCCTGTGGTCCATCCCGAAGAGGAGGCAGAAGGATGCTCGGATGCAGGAGGAGGAGGAGGAAGAGGGAGGGAGGGCGCTGATTGGCCGGCGTTGCCCGTGACGTCAGAGGTCACTGCATAAGGCTGGGGAAGAGAGGGAGCAGGCAGTCTAGTGCTGAGAGAAGATAGAAGGAGGAAGGAGGAAGGAAGGAAGGAAGGAAAAGAGGAAAAGAAGAAGGCAAGGAGAGAAGGAGGGGGCTTCCCTTTCTTTGGGAGGAGAGGGAGCCAGGAGGGGGTCCATGCCCCAAGGAGGAAGGGAGATCCAAGGGGGGCTTTTCCTCCTCCTCTTCCTCTTCCTTCCTTCCGAATGGAGCCGGAACCCGAACTTTTGCTTCCGACACTTCCGAATTGAAGGCTCTTCTTCTCCCTCCAGGCTCTCCATGTCAAGCTGCACTCGGGACTGCTCTCTCTCTCTACCTCAATCCGGATGCTCTCCCTCTTCTTCCTCTCTCTCTTTGGGTGATTCCGGGATGCTTCCCAGGGTCGCGGAAGGCTTCCGGGCTGATGCTTCTTAAGCCCGACCGCTTCCACCCCACAACAAACACGGAAGAGATCCGGGGAAACGTTTCCGCAGGAAGGAAGGAGCCAAGGAGGAAGAAGTCTCTGCGGATGGTCATCCTTCCCAAACGTCGCCTCCTGAGTTAAACCCTTCCCTTTCTTCCCTTCCTTTCCTCTTCCCTTCGCCCAGACTTCTCTTCCTTCTTTCCTTCCTTCCCTCTTTCTTTTCCTCCCTTTCTTTTTTCTTCCTTCGCTGAGACTTTCCTTCCTTCCTTCTTTTTGTCCCCTTTCTTTTGTGTTTTCTTTTCCTTCTCTTTTTAACCCCCCTTCGTTCTTCTTTTCGTTCCTCTTTTCCTTCTCTTTCTCCCTCCTTTTCTTTCCCTTTCCTTCAAGTCGTCTTTGTATTTCTTGTCTTGTTTTCCTCTCTTCCCTCCTCCTTCTCTCCTATTCTTCTCTTCTGTTCCTACATTCCTCTTTTTCCTCTCATTCTTCTCTTTCTCCCTCCTTTTCACTCCCCTTTCCTTCATAGAGCCTTCTTTGTATTTCTTCTCTTCTTTTCTTGCTTCGTTCCTTCTTCTCTTTCCCCCTTCCTTCGTGGGGCCTTCTTTCGATTCTTTCTCTTTCTTCCTCCTTCTCTTCCACTGTTTCCTCCTTCTCTCCTCTTCCTTCTTCTCTTTCGTCCTTCTCTTTCCTCCTTTTTCTCTTTTCTCGCTTCCTTCGTGGAGCCTTCTTTCGATCCCTTCTCTCTTTACACCTTCTCCTCCTTCCTTCCTCTGTTTCCTCCTTCTCTTTCCTCCTTCCTCTCTTTCTTCTGTCCTCCTTCTTCTCTTTCTCGCTTCCTTCGTGGAACCTTCTTTCAATCTCTTCTCTCTTTCCTCCTCCTTCTCTTCCTTCCTATCTGTTTCTTTCTTCTTTCCCCCCTCCTCTTTACTCTTTTTTTATCTTTCCTCCTTCCTCTCTTTCTCGCTTCCTTCGTGGAGCTTTCTTTTGATTAATTCTCTCTTTCCTCCTCTTTCTCTTCCTTTCTTTCTCTCTTTCCTCCTTTTCTCTCCTTCTCTTTCCTCCTTCCTCTCTTTCTCGCTTTCTTTTGTTTCCTTCTCTTCTTTCCTTCCTCTCTTTCCTCCTCCCTCACTTTTCTCCTCGTTCTCTTTCCTCCTTCCTTCCTGGAGCCTTTTTTCTCTCCTTTTCCCCTCGGCCGTGCCCTTTCTTTCCTTCCTTTCTTCCTTCCCTGACCAATATCCCCCCCCCACCCACCCCGGTCCGGAGGGCCTGCCCCCCCCTTCCTCCCGCCCTCCTTCCGGCCCAGGATGGTTCACTGCGCGGGGTGCAAGCGCCCCATCCTGGACCGCTTCCTGCTCAACGTGCTGGACCGGGCCTGGCACGTCAAGTGCGTCCAGTGCTGCGAGTGCAAGTGCAACCTCACCGAGAAGTGCTTCTCCCGAGAAGGGAAGCTCTACTGCAAGAACGACTTCTTCCGGTAAGAAAGGCCCGGCAGGGAAGGGAAGGGAAGGGAAGGGGTCTCGACGCCCCCCGAGAAGAAGGAGGGCCTCCAAGCGCACACCGATCTTGGTCTGGACCCCGCTTTTCCTCTCTCCGCGAAGGAGACTCCGCACAAACCCGGGACAGGGACAGAGGGGCGGCAGGGTTGGAGCTTCTCCTCCTTCCTCCTCTTCTTCTTTTTCGTCTTCATTCTCCTCTTCTTCCTCCTCTCCTTCTCCTCTTTTCTGTCTTTTTTCCTTCTCCTCTTCCTCCTCTCCTCTCCTCCTTTTCCCTTCTTCTTCCTCCTCCTTTTCCTCTTTTTTCTCCTCTTTTTCTTCTTTTTTCGTCTTCTTCCTCCTCCTCTTCTTCTCCTTTCCCCTCCTCTCCTTCTTCCTCTTCCTTCTCCTCTTCTTCCTCTCCTTCCCCCTCCTTTTTCGTCTTCTTTTTCCTCCTTCCCCTGTTCATCCTCTCCTCCTGTTTTTCTCCTTCTTCCTCATCCTTTTCCCCTTTTTTCTCCTTCCTCTTTTCCGTCTTTTTTTGTCTTCTTCTCCTTCTTCATCCTCTCCTCTTTTTCGCCTTCTTCTTCCTCCCCCTTTTCCCCTTTTTCTCCTTCCTCTTTTCCTTCTTTTTTGTCTTCTTCCTCCCCCTCTTCTTTCTTCTCCTCCTCCTTTCTCCTCCTTTTTTGTCTTCTTCTTCTTCCTCCTTCCCCTGTTCATCCTCTCCTCCTGTTTTCCTCCTTCTTCTTCCTCCTCCTTTTCCTCTTTTTTCTCCTTCCTCTTTTCCTTCTTTTTTTCGTCTTCTTCCTCCCCCTCTTCTTCCTTCTTCTCCTTCTTCCTCCTCTCCTTCTTTCTCCTCCTTTTTTCATCTTCTTCTTCCTCCTCCTTTTCCTCTTTTTTCCTCCTTCCACTTTTCCTTCTTTTTTTCGTCTTCTTCCTTCTTCTCCTTCTTCCTCCTCTCCTTCTTTCTCCTCCTTTTTTGTCTTCTTCTTCCTCTTTCCCCTGTTCATCCTCTCCTCATCTTTTTCGCCGTCTTCCTCCTCCTCTTTCTCTTTTTTGCCTTGCGCTTTTTTCCTCCTACTCCTCCTCTTCTTTCTCCTTCTCCTTTTCCTCTCCTCTTCCTTCACGACTACTAGTCTACTACTACTACTACTACTACTACTACTTATAAACCAAAGATGATGATTATTATTATTATTATTATGTTTACGTATACCCGGTTCGCCTCTCTGCAAAAGAAAACCTCTTCTTCTTTTCTCCTTCTTCCTCCTCGCCTTCCTCTCCTCCTCCCTTTTGTTTTTTGTTTTTTTAGTCTTCTGCCTCCGTCTCTTCTTCCTTCTCCTCCTCTTCTTCTTCCTCCTCTCCTCTTTCTCCTCTTCTTCCTCTCCTTCTCTTTTTCGCCTTCCTCCTACTCCTCTTCTTTTTTTCTCCTCTTTCTCCTTTTCCTCTCCTCTTCCTTCACTACTACTTCCTCCTCCATCTCCTCTCCTTTTCCGTTTTCTTCTCCTCTTCTCCTTTCTCTTCTTCTTCCTCTCCTCCTTTTTGTCTTCTTTCTCCTCCTCCTCTTTTTCCGACTTCCTCTTCTTTTTTCTCCTTTCTCCTCTTCTTCCTCTCCTCCTCCTCTTTTATTCTCCTCTTCTTCCTCTTTTTCCTTTTCCTCTCTCCTATTTTTTGTCTACTTCCTTTTCTTCTTCTTCTCTCCTCCTGCTCCTTTTCCTCTCCTCCTCTTTTTCCGTTTATCTTCCTCCTCCTCTTCCTCCTCCACTACTACTTTTTCTTCTCTTCCTCTTCTTCCTCCTCCTTCACTACTAGGACTCCTTCCTCCTTCATAACTATTAGTTCTCCTTCTCATTTTCTTCCTCCTCCTCCTCCAGTACTTCTACATTGTTTTCCTCCTTTTCCTCCCCTTCTTCTTCCTCCTCCTTCTCCACCATATTATTCACATTACTACTAATTTCAGTATGACATACTGTGCTATCATTTCCCCCCATGGCTCCGTCCTTTACTTTCTCACCCAAACTGCAACTCCCAGGGCCCTGAAAGTGGGGTCACATAGGCATCCATTGGGCTGGGCAGAAACTCCAGGGACAGTTCATTATTATTATTATTATTATTAGCTCTTGTAGTGGCGCTTGCCTTCAGTGTTGTCTTCCACCTCCATCCTGCCTTCGGGTTTTGACCCTGGGAGTTGTGTGGGCAGAGAAGGCCAAAGGCCTTGTGAAACTACAACTCCCAAGCTTGGAGAGCCCTAAAAAAAGGGGGGGGGAGTCCCACCAAGTTTCCTTGAGAGCTATTTGGAGGGTGAGAGAAGTCCTTTGGGTGGAAGGATTTTGAGTAGAAGGAAAGGAAACAGGAAGTAAAGGTAAAATAGGAAAGGAAAAGAGTGCCCCCCCCAACTTCCCAAAGCAAGCCTTTGTTCCCCTTTCAGGGTTGAGTCCCTCCCCTTTCTCCCAGCTGTCAGTCAAGGCCTATCAGAGCCCTGGCCTCACATTGAAACAGAAAGGCCAACTTCAAAAATAGGGAGATGCATATTCTATCTATCTATCTATCTATCTATCTATCTATCTATCTATCTATCTATCTATCTATCTATCTATATCTATCCCAGGAGTTTATGGCAGAGTAATAATATTCAAGTGTTCAAGTAATAATATTATATTATTTTTGTGTGTTTTGTGTCACTAAAATATATTATTATTATTATATAATATTTTGCTGACACAAAACACACAAAAAATATAATATTATTACTTGAACTATTATTATTTTTATATAATAAAAATAATTAGCTTCCAGGAGTTCATGGCAGTGTTCAATATGTAATAATATTCAAGTGTTCAAGTAATAATATAATATTTTAATATAATATTATTTTTGTGTGTTTTTGTGTCAGTAAAATATAATAATAATAATAATAATAATAATAATAATAATAATCTCCCAAGAGTTCATGGCAGAGTGTTCAAGTAATAATGTAATATAATATATTATTTTTGTGTGTTTTTGTGTCAAAATAATAATAATAATAATAAGCTCTCCACAAAAGGTGTGACTTCCTGTAGTTCATGGCAGAGTGTTCAAGTGGTCCCAAACCGCATTATTTCGACAGTTTCCTTATAAACCAAAAATTATAATAATAATAATAATAATAATAATAATAATAATAATTATTATTATTATTATTATTATTATTATTATTATTATTATTATGTTTACATACACCCGCTTCTCCTCTCTGCAAAAGAAAACCCAGAGTGTCCTGGAGAACAAACTGGAATAGTAATAGTAAGGAAGGCAATGTTCATCATGTAGAATATACAATATATACAATAACAACAACACAAAATCATATTGGTGTACAATACCATTACTACTAATAATAATAATAAAATTTTGTTATTTTGTTAATATTATCTACATGTTGGTATACAATACCAAAACTACTACTACTACTACTAATAATAATAATAATAATAATAATAATAATAATACTCTTTTGTTATACTGTTAGTATTATCCACATGTTGGTGTACAAAACCAAAACTAATAATAATAATAATAATACTCTTTTGTTATATTGTTAGTATTATCCACATGTGTTGTCCATCACAACACTGAATTACTATTCTTAATAATGACAGTAATAGTAACAATAACAACAACAACACAAAATTTTATTGGTGTACAATACCAATACTAATACTGCTACTACTAATAATAATAATACCAATATTATTTTGTAATAATGTTAGTATTACCCACATGTGTTGTTCATCACAACACTGAATTACTATTCCCAATAACAACAACAGCAATACAAAGTAGTATTGTTGTACAATACAAATACTACTACTAATAATAATAATACTATTTTGTTGTATTAATAGAATTATCCATGTGTATTGTTCATCACAACACTGCATTTCTATTCTCAATATTAATAACAATAACAACAACAAGGCAAAATAGTATTTGTGTATAATACCAATAGTAATAGGTAAATAGGTAATTAACAAAACTACTACTACTACTAATAATAATAATAATAAGAAGAAGAATAATAAGAATACTGTTTTGTTATATTGTTAGTATTATCCACATGTGTTGTCCATCACAACACTGAATTGCTATTCTCAATAATGACAGTAATAGTAACAATCATACTGTTTTGTTATATTGCACATGTGGATAATACTAGCAATATAACAAAACAGTATGATTGTTGTTAGTATGATTTTTATTGAGAATAGTAGTTCAGTTATCACAACACTGAATTACTATTCTCAGTAGTAATCATACTAATTATAATAACAATAACAACAACAATGCAAAATAGTATTGTGTACAATACCAACACTGTTTTGTTATATTGCTAGTATTAGCATTAGTATTGTCCTCATGCCTTGCTAATAACAGACACTGAATTGCTATTCTCAATACTAATAATAATAATAACAACAACACAAAATAGTACTGGTGTTCAATACCAATATACTATTTTGTATTAGCATTATCCGCATGTGTGGTTAATATCAACACGGAATAATATTGTCCTTAATAATAATAATAATAATAATAATAATAATAATAATAATAATAATAATAATGTAGCACATTATTATTATTATTATTATTATTAGTCAGGATTTTATTTGAAAAGGAGCAAGGAAAGCTCTATTATTAATATTAATGTTATTGAATTAATTTTTGTCGTGTCAGGAGCGACTTGAGAAACTGCAAGTCACTTCTGGTGTGAGAGAATTGGCAGTCTGCAAGGATGCTGCCCAGGGGAGGTTGCCCAGATGTTTTACCATCCTGTCTTCGTTGATTCAATGGTTTTGATAGCGGATTTAAGAGGAAGACAAAACATACAAACGAGAAAATACTATTTTAAACTCGGAAAAAATAGATATAATAAATGTAAAATCTGGGGGAAGTTTGTTTCCTTCTATAGAAAGAGAGAAATAGTATATATTACAAAATATATGTGCGATATATTATA